TGATCTCAACTCTTCTATATCTTTTCTAACTAAATCAATTTCTTTTATAAATTCTTGGTTTTTATTTTCTAATTTAGAGTTTTTTCTAAATTTATCATTTACAGACTCTAAACTCATTTTTACTTTTTCAAGAAAGTCATTAAACACAACCTTATTGATTGTGTAATAATCATTATTTTGTTTGTTTTCATTTAAAACTTCAATTTCTTCTTTTAAATCTTCAAAAATCTTATTACTTTCACTTTCTAAAATATAATCATAAAGAATATTGTGATCTTTTTTATTAACATCCTTTTTATAGTGATTTAAATAGAAATTTCTAATAATTAATTTGTCAGAATGTGAGTCATAGTTATCTATAGAACATTTAAATGTATTAATTATACTTGTTAAATCATAAACACTATAGAAAGTATCATAAAACACAAAGTGTTGTTTAACACCCATTTTTAACTCTTGAAGAAAAGATTCTTTAAACTCAAATTCTAGTCTCTCATATATTGTTTTAAGTGTGGTAGGTCTGATGTCATAACTAATTGAATTTGCAATAGAAGCATACATTTCAATAGTCTTTATCTTTTTACTCAACACTTCATTATACCATTTTATGTATTTTTCACTATTTCTTAACTTTATAGCAGCAATTAACTCCTCTTTAGTATATTCATTTCTATATTTTCTATTTCCCATTTGCTTAAAACTTTTTAAAATTAAAATTTTATTGTTTTTCTTTAAATTCTTTAACTTTATCAATTAATTTTTCTATTAATTTATCAATTAATTTCATCTCACTTTTCATACAAATTAATTCATTTAAACATTTATCTATTTTAATTAATTCTTTATCATTTTTATATTCACTTTTAATTTTTTTATTATCAACAACTTCAATCAAATCTTCTTTTAAATTAATTTCATTTAATTTTACTTCTTCATTTTTTTTACTTTCCTTTTTAAATAACTCTTGTTTTCTTCTCATATAAATATCTATAAAATTTACTTCTCTATTATTATCAACATATTCTTTTATACTTTCATACATTAAATTGAATGAATTGTCTTTCTTCTTTTTATTGTAATAATTAAGGTAATAATTAATTACTAGTTGACTAATATCATTCTTGTTAATTTTATCAGGATGAAATAAAGAAGATTTATCAAAATATTGATCAAATGCATTATAGAATTTAAAATCATTAGAAATTGAAGTGTCTTTAAGTTCTAAACAAACCTCTTTAAATAATTCTACATATCTCTTTAATAATTCATTATATTTTTCCCAAAGTTTCATATAATCATAATTTTCACCAAATTCTTTTACAACTAAATTCTTGAGTATTTTCCTTTCATACTTTGATTTTAAATTATCTTGTCCATGTTTATTAAAGCACTTCTTACTGTTAAATATCTTAATGAACTTTTCTATTTCTTGATCTGTAAATTCTGTCTTAATCTCTATTTTATTTTCCATTGCTTTGTAAATGTTTAAAAATTTTTATAAAATTTATTTTTTGATCGTCTTAAATAAATCACTAACAACTAACTTTAACTTTTCG